GTAAGGAAGTATTTTTTATTTATATAGTGCATTTTTACAGACCAAGGCCACCCAAAGCGATTATTGTTTCATTCTTTCCACAAGAAGCGAGACGCCGCTGACTGGAACATCAAAGCCTTTGACCCAACACCATTGATGCGCTCAACTGCGCTCACTCATTCATTCCTATTGTTCATTTTTTTTTGTGGTAGAGGAAACCGGAGCACCTGGAGGCAATCTACGCAGACACAGGGAGAACATACAAACTCCACTCAGAAAGGCCGTGTTCAGACCGGGAATCCAACCCAGGACCTTCTTGCTCAGAAGTGAGTGCGCCATCCAATCAACCACTCTGTCGCCCTCAAAAAAACTATTCATATTAAATCACACAAGTTTGGATTCATACCTGGACTAGGTCTTAATATTTCCATTGGTTCATGATCATCATCATCAAACTTTGTTACAGACTCAGACCCAGAACGACTATGATTTCTGTTGTAATAAGAAGAACATATGTTTTAGTCCAGTTATGGGATGTTCTGTTTTATTGTGGGCCAGAAGGTCGTAGGTTCAAGCCCCGCTCAAGACTTTCACCATCGACTCCCACTGACTACTGTCGTTGTGTCCTTGGCAAGACACTTAACCTCTGGGAACACCAGCCACAGTGGGGCGGCTGCGGCTGTAAAGTGCCAAACTGCTGTTGTGTCCTTAGGCAAGACACTTCACCCCCATTGCCTAGAATGAGTCTGGTGTGTGTATGAATGGTTGGTGGTGGTCGGAGGGGCCGATGGCGCATACTGGTTGCCTCGCTTCTGTCAGTTGCCTCGCTTCTGTCAGTTTGCCCCAGGGCAGCTGTGGCTACAGTAGTAGTTTATCACCAGTGAATGAATAATGACACATGTGAAGCGTCTTTGAGTGTCCAAAAAAGCGCTATATAAAACCGATACATTATTATTATTATTATTATTATTATTGTAGGGTGTAATGACAGTTTTTAGAGTAATTACATTAAAACCAGCCGCAGCAAATACACGGACGTAAAAGGCCTTTTATCAATGCAGAGACGACCTTCTGACGCCATGCTGAGCTTTGTGAAGGTCTCTGCTGTCTGTCACACCCTTGTGTCTTTCGCATCTTGCATCTGTATGCCTGCATTTCTACCATTGTCTGTCTGTTCACACCCCCATGCCACTGTGTCTGATTGCCTCACCACGGGGATGGCGCCTGCGCTCCCTATGCGCCTCCTGCACCGGTGGCCCCCTCCCATCTGTTGTGGGCGTGACTGTCTTTCATGTGTGTCTATGTAAACAGGAAGTTGAGCTCTGCGCCCCAGAGCTGGGTATGCTGCCTTTTGTATATGCTAGCTCTCCGCACGTGTGTACAATAAACTTACGCTCCTGATTTAAGACAAAGACCTCTGAGCTTTCTCCTTCATTGGGGTATATAATTCTACAACAATTTGGCGTTGCTGGCATGTCTTGGCATGGGATTTTTTCGGCGGGGACGAGCGGCCGCGTTTGGCCGACCTGGAAACAACACCAGCCTCTGCTCTATTTGGAGACAAAGGAGGGCGCGCTCGTCCCGCGCATGGAAGGAATCTTTTGCCACACAAGACCAAAAAGAACCTAATTTGGTGAGTTTTGTCTTTTCATCTGCGTAACGAGCCCAGGGCAGCGCATAAGTGTACACGGGGATTTGTTTATTTATGTATTTTTGGGGTATTTCATGCATTGCCACAGCATAGACTGTGTGCGGGATTTTTTGGGGTCTTTTGTTCTAGATTGAAGCTAGCGGCTGCGCGTTAGTAATCGCTCTGTAAGCGACCCTGATAATTTCTCTAAGTGTCTTCAGCCAGACCCGCTCCGTTTCAAGAACGCGCGCTCGTTGGTTGAACCAGCGGGGGGGGGAACGGAGCGCTCCAAAGCGGGTAAAGAGCAGGGAAGAGACTAAGCGGGTTAGGTCCATTGTTCGTACGAGAAAATGGGGAAAAATCAATCTAGAGATGCAAGCTATGGAGTGCTTGCCTATGGTGCAGTTCATTCCGATGGAGGCTATATGTCTCCGAATCAATTACGCATCTTGCGTGATAATTTAGAAGAAGAAGGGAAGAAAAAATATACTTGGTTTTAAGAATATCACGGCAAAAGACGTTAGAGAAAGAAATATGTAAAAACAATAGCTCCTCCGCTTTTCACCGAAGCGGAGAACGCACAGGCGGACACACACACACACACTACCTCACTCAAGACGTTGATATTTTCTCCTCTCTGTCAGCGATGCAGGCACTGGCTACTCCAGCAGAGACGCTGCTGTGGGAGGGGAATGGGGCTCAACGACGGCATGGTGTGTGTGGCTGGGACCAGACAGCAAACCGTGCCTACCACGGCATTTCTTCAGACAGTTTGCAATTTTAGCACATGGTCGAGACCATGCCTCAAAAGGAGGGATGTGTAATTTAATCACACTAAATTGGTATACAAAGGGGTTTACGGCATTTGCACAGAGATTCTGCCAAACATGCGCTATATGCCTCGCGCACAACCCAGGTAAGTCCCAAATTATCCAACAGGCTGCTCATCCTCCGCCCCTGCGCCCATTTCAACATGTCCAAAGGGACTTTGTTGAACTCACACCATGCCAAGGTAAGTAATACTGTCTGGGTCTGGCGGATCTCTGGTCCAAATGGACTGAATATTTGCATGCAAACACGCCACGAGCAACGCGGTGGTGAAAGCTCTGCTCACAGAAATTGTGCCACGATGGGGTGTCCCGAGGGAAAATCTCTAGTGACAATGGCAGTCACTTTGTAGCAAAAGTCATTGAGGAAGTGGGTGAATTTCTGGGCATTGATATACGTAAACACTGCAGTTACGCCCCCTGGTCCGGAGGCGCGTGCGAGCGAGAGAATGGCACTCAAAGCTCTGCCGCTAGCCCTCATGTACATGCGCATGAGAGTCCCATTCGAAATCCTCTGTGCCAGACCACCCAACTTGGGCGCGGGACCCCCGAACAGAGATCTGCCAAGCACCTCTTTGTGTGATGACGACATGCTGTCCTATTGTAAGGAAATTAATGCACTTCTGTCCTCTATTTCTGCCCAGGTCAGGAGCGCCCTGCCACAGGCTGCGCAGGCGGCTCTGCACAGGATCAAGCCAGGCGACTGGGTCCTGGTGAAGGAAACGAGACGAAAGCATTGGCGGTCCAAGCGCTGGCTCGGCCCATTCCTCGCCCTCCTGGTGACGGACACTGCCGTTAAGGTCGCGGAGAGGACAACTTGGATCCACGCCAACCACTGTCGTGCGGTGCTGCCACTGAGGGCCATAGACGAGGACACCGAGGGCGCGGACGGACCAGGCCCATCCGCGGCTCCCTACGCTGAAGAGGTCGGCCGGCGTGCGACCACCATCGGTGAAGCAGGCCAACAACAACACCCAGAGATTCCCAGCGTTCCCGAGGCGACCCCCCTTTGCCCAACTCCCCAGCCCCCGGACCCCAAGGCCTGGGAGCCATGAAGGCCCTGAGTGCTCTGCTCAGCTGCAGCAAGTATGCAGAGCTGCTGCTCATTCCAAAGATTTCTCCAGAGCCTGCTCCCTCTGGCCATAATGCAGATTTGAGCTCTGCTGGAGTGCCCCCTGGTGTCTCGTCCCCCGTGTGTCCGGAGGAGGTGGAGATGAGGGCTGCTCTACAGTTCCTGATGAGGCACATGGTGAAGCGTGCTGTCATGAGGTCTCCCATCAAACGAGCTTTGGGCCTGGCCGATCTGGAGCGTGCTCAAGCCATGGTCTCCACACCCCAAACCCCGAGCACTCTGCCCAACCGAGTGCTGAGGCCAAGGCTTCAACGCAATTAGAGTCTTGCCGCTCCAAGACCAAACATCGCCATGACCACTAACGCTCCACACACGCTCATAGGGAGCGGTGCCACTGACTGCGAGACGGCACTGTTCGTGAGTATTCCCGCGGAAAAGACTACCGAATGTAGCCCGGCTAAGACCGGCATGGGCCCTTGGACTGTTATGCTGGCCACACTGACACTACTTTCCGTGCTGACCGTGTTTATTATGTTCTGTGGGAGGCGTATGCACGATCATCGGGTCGTCCTGCTGTACATATATTCCGGCTAATGATGAGGACGGAGGTCTTATCCAACAGGGCATAGCCAATCTGACTAGACTCCGGGACGTCATGCAAGTGGACAATGTCACGGACACTCCTCACGGTCTGGACTGGCTCCTGTCCTCCTGGCGGAGTGTGCTCATTAATCTTGGTTTAGCCCTATTGATGTCGGACACACTGTCCGCACTCTTATCGCTGTCCGGATCCATTGTGTTATTATAATGTGCTCTTTCTTTTATTGACAAGCATGTTTCTTTTCTTGTCCACTTTGGACAGCAATAATTTAAGTGTTTCAAGCTTGAAGGTGATGTGATTACGATGCCTCTGGTATTTAACTGATTAATGCAAAAATGGTTTTGAATTATCAAAAGCCGCAGCAAATACACGGACGTAAAAGGCCTTTTATCAATGCAGAGACGACCTTCTGACGCCATGCTGAGCTTTGTGAAGGTCTCTGCTGTCTGTCACACCCTTGTGTCTTTCGCATCTTGCATCTGTATGCCTGCATTTCTACCATTGTCTGTCTGTTCACACCCCCATGCCACTGTGTCTGATTGCCTCACCACGGGGATGGCGCCTCCCTATGCGCCTCCTGCACCGGTGGCCCCCTCCCATCTGTTGTGGGCGTGACTGTCTTTCATGTGTGTCTATGTAAACAGGAAGTTGAGCTCTGCGCACCAGAGCTGATGCATGCTGCCTGTGTGTATGATGAGCTCTCCGCACGTGTGTACAATAAACTTACGCTCCTGATTTAAGACAAAGACCTCTGAGCTTTCTCCTTCATTGGGGTATATAATTCTACAACAAGGGTGAAGTTGATGTGTTTTGATCCCAGAGCAAAGAATGGACACACATGTAGTAGGTTTGTTTGTAGTAGGTAAGAGCTGAAAGCAGTTTGTATAGTACCTTAATAGGCTTCTTGCGTGTCTCTGTCGCCTCGTTGTTCTCGGCCTCCTCGTGCTCCTTGCTGCCCTGGGGCAGGTTGGAGTAGTTGGCCAAGCTGCTGAGCAGAGACGATACCATTGGGCTGGTGTCCATCTCCTCCTACACCAACAACCACAACCATTTCAGAGGATTTCAAAAGCATTAAAAAGAAAAAGAAAATCAATAATTAATTCTGGAAAGCCAGAAACCACATTTGAGTTTATGTAACCAGAGTGGGTTTTAGTTAGTGATCTGAAAAAACACTAACTGTTCCAGGAGTCACACATTTTATTACACATTAGGGATAACTAGAAAAGCTAGTAAATTATGTGAGAGGAGGACTAGAAAGTGCTCAAATTTGGCAAAATGTATCTTATTTTGAACACATTCTGAAAGACATTTCACAACATTTGCAAAATGATCTTGTTTTAAAAAGACACATGACATTTTCCACTTGGAATGAGAAAATAAAGCTACAATTCTTGAAAAACCTTGTTTTCAGACATTCAGAATGTACTCATGTTAAGATAAAACCACTTCATTCAAGCATTTATTACCTCATACTTTATATTGCGGCTGCGGCTGTAAAGTGCCAAACTGCCGTTGTGTCCTTAGGCAAGACACTTCACCCCCATTGCCTAGAATGAGTCTGGTGTGTGTATGAATGGTTGGTGGTGGTCGGAGGGGCCGATGGCGCATACTGGTTGCCTCGCTTCTGTCAGTGTGCCCCAGGGCAGCTGTGGCTACAGTAGTAGTTTATCACCACCGTGTATGGAGTGAATGAATAATGACACATGTGAAGCGTCTTTGAGTGTCCAAAAAAGCGCTATATAAAACCGATGCATTATTATTATTTTGCTGTGTAGTAGCCTATGAATGTGATTTCTCTTATTGCCTTTTGTTGCATATGTGTGTCTCTCTCTGTGTGTGTGTGTGTGTGTGTGTGTGTGTGTGTGTGTGTGTGTGTGTACCTCAAACAGGGCCATGTTCTTGCCGTCGTACTGCTGAGTCTTCTCTGCAGTTGCATCGCTGCTGTTGATGAAGGGGCTGCTCTCCTTGGGATTACTTTCACCTGAAAAACACACACCAACAAAGACACCTTTAATCCGTTTGCTTTTTTTTAAAACTGTGCTTTGAGGAGTGTGTCTCAAATGCATGTTCTATTATAAACAAATGACTCACACAGACAAAGAAACAAAGCCAAGGAAAAGAAGAAGCCTGGAGTTAGAGAATCGAAGCAAGGCTAATGGAGTGCACATTCACAAGATGTCCAATCCTAAAGAGTACATATGGCCAATGCTAATGAGGACGCTTCAAATAGCCTCAAAGACCAACGCTCAAAGGAATTTACCGCTTCAATCATCGACAACTGTCCAACTCTAAGTCGATGTACAAACATACACTGCAGAAAATAACAGAAAATAAGGCGATAAATCCTTGAATTCAGTGTTTTTATATTAATTGAGCACATTTTGACTGTCTAACAACAAGATTTGCCAAGGGAAAAAGCAAAAATGTCATATTTAAAGACAGACTACCCGTTTTAAGACAGACCTGTTTTAAGTCAGAATATACACAATGTATTATTCAGTTGGTGTGTTACAGTTCGAACACACAAAAAATGGCCATATAGGAAAATAAGTAATATACAGTAAAGTACACACACTACAAAAAATGACAACAAATATGAGGTAACAATTGGTTGAAACGAGTGGTTATTGTTCAACAGTGGGGCGACAGTGGCTCAGTTGGTAGAGCATTGCCTTTAGGCTTGAAGGTCGTGGGTTCGAGCCCACCACAAGACCTATTTCACGACTCCCACTGATGACTGCTGTCATTTTGTCCTTGGGCAAGACACTTGCGCTATATAAAAGCATTGCTTTTATATAGCGCTTTTTTTGGACACATTATTCTTTCACTCCATACACGGTGGTGATAAACTACTACTGTAGCCACAGCTGCCCTGGGGCACACTGACAGAAGCGAGGCAACCAGAATGTGCCATTGGCCCCTCCGACCACCACCAACCATTCACACACACACCAGACTCATTCTAGGCAATGGGGGTAAAGTGTCTTGCCTAAGGACACAACAGCAGTTTGGCACTTTACAGCCGCAGCCGCCCCACTGTGGCTGGTGTTCCCAGAGGTTAAGTGTCTTGCCAAGGACCCAACGACAGCAGGAGTCGATGGTGAAGGTCGGGCTCGAACCCACGACCCTCTACCAACTGAGCTACTGTCGCCCGACCTTAACTTAACCCCACTATGTCTGAAGCCCCCACTGAAAAATCAACGCAGCTCAAATCAGAGCAGCCATCCTCCTGTGGACCCACCACCTGCAGGAGGATCAGTGAGGGGCTGGTCCTCTGTGGATTGAGTGCAGCTCTGACTGTCACCCCCCTGACCCAGAAATGAATTAAGCAGAAGAAAATGGATGGATGGATGGATGGAGTGGTTATTGTCTTAATCTGACTGTATTTGTGGTCATGTAAATGCCCTTCATGGATTTGTACCATTGGTAAATCAGAATTCACTATAAAACCACTTGATGGAAGCAATTTTTACTTTATATTTGATATTATTTTGCAGTGCAAGGGAGAAATTTCTTGTATATTTTGAAAACAATTTGTCCCATTGGCAAATCCTGTTTCATCACTTTTTGCAGTGCACTCCTGGATAATATATTCTCACTGAAGCACCTCAACACAAAGATGAGATGATCACAATTCCATTTTCATCACCTATTCTCCTTAGTGATTGTCACATATAGAGCTTCCTGGCCAGACGTGTGCTCTTGTCTGGGAATGTAATTGAATTTAGAATCACTTTGCCGCCCACCCATCAGCGAGTACAACAGAGGTCTTGATGGCTCGGTGTAAATTTGTCTGATTTGCGCCTTCTCCAAGTGTCTCATTGGGGAGATGGCACATTGCTTTCTCTTTGGCTCTCGGGTCCGTCTTGGGCAGAGCTCCGCGAGACAGATATTTTTAGCCACGTGCCATGACGTCCGGACCGGCAGCTCCTCAGACAGAATGTCGAGGGGCTGAACCAAAATGGGGCAAGACATTAACAAACAGGAACATAAAATCAAGGCATCTAAAATGCTATCTATCTCATCACATTGGTAATCACTTTTACATAGAGAGGCTGCAAACCTGGAGGTAGGTTTTGTTCCAGTCAGACATGAAGCTAAGCAGGTCAAGGCATGGTTAGTTCTGTGATCATAAACTTCTCAAAACAACAAGTGCCAGTGCCACAGTGGGGCGGCCGTGTCCTTAGGCAAGACACTTCACCCACTTTAATCGTAGTCAAGGAGGCAGACGATTGTGGACTCAATATGACACAATGTGAAAAATTAAAGTTGATCAGACACTTTTGAAAGGCACTGTTGAATACAGACTAGTGTGAATGTTGACAGGAGAAAGATGAAAGCCAAGATACAATTTAGGAACATTTACTGGAAACAGCTCAGGGCCGCAGAGGACGTTCATATTTTTAAATACAGGCTTAGATACTGTACACCTTTTTAGATTAGCTTTTGATTGTTTATCAGAATGTGCTCAGATTAAGATAAAAACCAACCTTGATTCAATAGATATAAATAATACAAAACTCAAACACATAATTTACTGAAGCACATTTGATTAAACAAACTAGTATTAAACAATCTCCCACCATACAGACTGGAGGTGATTAAACAGGAGAACTGGATGGATCTCCCAGATAACAGATGCCGACTTGTTTTTATGTGATTTGATCCAAATGAAGTGTCCTGTTGTTATTCAGATTTTGACCAAAATAAACCAAACAAAACACAATAGAAGTGTCTTGCAACATGAGGCACAGCTGTTGCATCGGTAGGCCGGACAAGACACCGGTAATTATTTCTGCAAAACATAAAAAAAGAAGAGCTATTTTGCTGGTACTGGAAGCAAAATATTGGTCGATATTGGTGCCTATAGTCTGTTGACAGGGCAAGGCAAGTTTATTTGTATTGCACAGTTTATACAAAAGATTGAAAAGGCATAAAGATGATAAAGAAAAATTCCCTCAGTTATATGTATAGCTAAACTATTTTCAACCTGGATTTGAACATTGTCAGATAAGAAGCCTGTCTCACATTTTCAGGAACATTCATTAAGAATTTGAGCTGCATAAATCTGAAATGCTGCCTCCCCATGTTTTGTTCTGATTCTGGGCATCAGCAGGAGGTCAGTCCCTGTGCTCCTCAAAGTTTGACTTGGTTCATATGGTTCCCTAAAGTGAAATAGGGCCACACACAGAAATGCATTGAATTGAAGGTAAAAGAGACAAAGGGGAACACAGGGCTCAAGGTTCAATCGGCGTTGGACCCAGAGGGGAAACCGCTAAAAGGCAGAGCGAGCCGCAGAGGGATTTTCACAGCACTATACCATTATTCAGATGTTTGTTTCCTTCTATTTCCACACAGACGATACACCTGCAGGATGAAAGGCCTCTCGCTACCTAAGTGGCTGGATGCACACTTCAAAGACCTAACAGACCAGAACAAGGACCTGTTTAGGTTTTTTATGATCTCTCCAATACAGAATCCTCCACCCATTCCCCCATTGTTTTTTTTTTACTTGTCCATTTGAACCATTTATGGAGACAGCGTTCACAGAAAGAAAGAAAGACGATTGCATTGCAGTGTAATATTCTCCAATGTGGGAAATAGAAAGCTTTTTGTTTCAAATGGTTGGAGGCCATTATGGCAAATAACACGGCAGGGATGTGATTCGGGGTCCGCGATTGAAACAGCACAGTGCACACTGCAGCGGACACTGTAATATGCTGTTTTATTATATTCAATTACAAAGCAGGTCTCAAAATATGTAGATGTGTTAGCAATCATGTGGTAAAAACGTCTTATTGTAGGAACTAAAGAGGTGATTTCATAAAGCAATATAAAAAAGCCAACAATAGGTCCAATAAGTTAACTTTTTTCCATCCTAGTTCTGCCCCTTAATCCATTTCTAGGTTGGGGGGGGGGGGGGGGGCAGTCACAGCTGCACCCACTACATACAGCACCAGCCCCTCACTGATCCTCCTGCAAGTGCACAAGTCCAGGAGCCTTGATCTCTCAGCGGGGGCTTTAGACAAAGTGGGGTTAAGTGTCTTGCCCAAGGACACAACAACAGCAGGCATCAGTGGGAGTTGTGAATCAGGTCTAGTGGTGGGTTGGAACCCACGACTTTCAGGCCCAAAGGCCAATTCTCTACCACGTGAGCCGCTGTCGCCCCCTGTCTTTTTTTTCCTTTTTAAATCCATTGATTTTGTATATTGGTTTGATCTCCACTGACTTCAGAAGCACTGCATAAGATCGTGAGTAAGTACTAAGTAAGTCATTTTCATGTACATTGCACCTTTCATAAACCAGAGTCACAGTCACATTTTACAATTGTTGTGGGCATTTGTCTCTCACTCTATACAGTACAAAGCATGCCAGAAAACTCTGCAGACACGGGGAGAACATTATGATTGAAATGTCTCTCTCTTCTCAATAGCAGTGGTTGCCACAGTGCAGCGTCTGGGAGCAGTCTCCAGATGTCGATGCTCTTGGTCAGGACCAGAGCTGAAGAATTTTTTCTTTTTGTACATGTAGAGGAAACCTACGCTGACACAAGACCTTATTTCGACCTGTTGGAGATCCAGGACATCTCGTTTTGCTTTGTCCACAAACTGTTATCAGTCTGAAAAGCGCTTAAATTGTTCTTCGATTTCACACTGACAGTTGTTTCTGCACTATTTTAGCTTGTTTCATTTCTGTACTTGTCTGGTTCACAATGTGAACGTTTGGACATGTTTTCCAAAGGGGTTTTTACTGCAAATATGAATCTGGATTCAAACCCAGGACCATGTTACTGAGAAAAGAGAGTGCTATACACCATATTTTAAAGCTTAAAAATCACTGTAATAATAATTAATAACAACTATATTCTTCTTCAATGTTAAACATGATTTACAGGCAATGTATATGCTTTGAATTGGATATTGTTTCCTTAAATATGAATGACATGCATGATCATTTGTGACAAAAAAGTAAAATGATACATCCAAAAAATGATAATTGCTTGGTCCCTCGTTGTGACGCAACAGCCATAATGACTCTAACACAAGCTGCCAACTGACAGAGGGTGTGACTAATCTACCAATGCATGTTCAAATCCATAGTGTGGCAGGAACAAAAGCTCTATCTGGTGTAAAACCCAGTGTAATACCTCACCTTGGCCAAATAAATGACAGTTATGTAACCGCACACCTACACAATTGTCTGAAATCTCATTTGTGTTCTGTGCAAAAGATTACTGGGTTGTGTGTCGTAATACAAAATACTGCTTTAAGTGGATCCAGGGACACACACAGATACACAGACACACAAACACTCCTTATGATCAAAGTAATCTGGAGTACACATAACACACATGGCTAATACCCCAAAGACGTCTTCCCCTCGTCTATCACTTTACAACGCCACGGCTCATTTCTCCTCCCTGTCGAATAATTAAAACACCATCTTCAAACGGGTGATGGATCAGCCTGTTGGCGAGGGCTGACAGTGGCCCGAAGAGTCTCCCCCCACCCCCCACCCTCACACCCATCCCTCCCTCTAGCAGCTTATCCTGCTCCAATCTGATGCAATCCGTCCATCAATAGCTCTGGTATCAAAGCCTCGTCCAATCTCTGGTCAAATCCATGGCGCTGTGATCGTGTCTCGCTCACTTGACATCAACACCACTCAGAATGTGACAGATATGAGAGATGGGTTGGACAATGGAAATGATGGTTTTAAAGCTGAGGTACTTCACTTTTTGTCTCATACGTATGTGGTTTGCCCCAATAGAGATAGGCTGAGTAACATTCTGTCTTTATGTTATTAAAATTGTTCCCTGTACTCTTTTAGCTTGTTTTATCGTATGAGATTGTCTGGCGCACACTGGGGACTTTCATACAGCTAGTCCAATGTAGTTTCACCTAAAATTGCAAATAATCTGAATTTTAATCTACAATCTAGCTTTAGAAGGTTAAAGAAGAAAGAAGACACTTAATTTGTGGACACACTTAATTTGTGGCACGTGTGGAGTGAGCACGCGTTTTGACGTCTCTGCTCTGTTTACCCTTTTAAGCCTTTTAAAGCCTTTTAAACACGTTTTTACGGTGTATTAGTGTCTTTTGTACACTCTAGTGTTTTATTATCTTAAATGCAATGGTTCCAGAGCATCACGTCTTTTAACACAAAGACCCAATCGAAACGCGCTAGCTCGGAGGCTACCACGAGCGCACCACAGACATGGAAAGTGACACTGCAATGACCACGAACGACATTAGTCGCCTCACATTGGAGCTTCGTGAGAGGGACCGTGCCACTATTGCAGACCTCCGTAAAGAAGTCCTTCGCCTCACTGCAGAGCTGCAGGATAAACAGTCACTTGTGTCCAAACTTTTTGATGTTGCTGGCGGGCAGCACTCACGGCTTATGTCACTGAGCGCTGCATACTGTGACACTGTCGTGTGGGAGAGATCTGTCAGCTCTGGGCCCTCTTGTTCTACACCTAAGTGCCCGGTTCGGAATAAAGAGCCTGCGGACTGCGAGGAGCCATCCAGCGCCGTGGCCCATGTCCTGAGCCTTTCAAACCGCTATGCAGCCCTCTCCGCTGACATCCCAGCCCCCTCAGCAGAACCCCTGGACTCTGCAGCAAACTCTACTGCTGTCCGTGGATCCAGGTCCACTGCGAGAAAGACACTCTTAAAGGAAGCTGTCCTCAGACGAAAGAGTGATCATTCCCCTTCTCTGACCCCAGTGCATCACCACCACTTACCTTCACCGGGTCAGCAGCAGCGATCCGAGCCTGCTCCTCTCGCTGCTCCAGCGTCTCCGTGCACACAGCGTGGGTTGCCCGGAGCTGGGAATCAACACCCCCACTACTCTCCATGTGTTCAGCAGCGCCCTGGTTCGGACCCATCCCTGGATGAGCCCGCTGGTTCTGGCCATGGACACCGAGCGCCCTCTCCGCGGCCGCGTCCACTCTTCGCCCCAACTACTCTGATTGTTGGAGATTCCATCGTGAGGCACGTCCGCTTTTTTAACGCGGTCACTCACTGCATTACCGGAGCTACTGTCCCAGATCTGCTCATCCGTCTCCCTCCTCTGCTTCACTCCCTGCCCGATACCATATCCAAGGTAATCGTGCATGTGGGGATCAACGACATGAAGCTGCAGCAGTCCGAGGTCACAAAGAAGCACTTTATGGATCTGTTCCGCCTTCTCCAGTCCTCAGGGTTATCCGTTTTTATTTCTGGTCCAGTCCCGACTGTAAACCGGGGTGACTGCCTCTACAGTCGCGTTGTGGCGCTCAACATGTGGCTCCAGTCTACATGCAGCACTTTTAACTTTATTTTTGTGAACAACTTTGGCCTGTTCTGGAAGCGTCACGTGGCCTATCGTCCAGATGGTCTGCACCCGAACAAATACGGCACCAGTTTGTTGACGGACTTCCTACGCCATGTTGTTCAGTGCTCCCCGAGAGGGGCGTGACTGTTTACATCTGAGGCTTCTCGGCCCCCACCACCCCCCTCCTCCTCCTCCTTACCAGCACCGGGTGAGTACTGTGGTGCAAACACTGACCCCTGTCCGTCTGGCAGTGTAACGACAGTCCTGCCACTGAACTGTGCTGACTCAGTTATGCATCTGGAACTTAACAAAGTACAACAGAGTTCACTTTTTAAACCAATAGAGACTGTGTGTGTTCCTCGCACCAGCTCAGAAATGTGTTTTAACTTGAATAAACACAAATTTAAAAGAAGGACAGCAGTTAGACGGTCCAACTCTGGAAATCTAATTCCAGTTCTTTGTAATCAATCAACTAAACCCACTGACACTGATATTAATTTTAACCTTGCTCTACTTAATGTCAGATCACTATGCAACAAATCATTTTTAATTAATAATTTTATCTGTTCGTATGATCTTGATTTTATGTTTATGACTGAAACATGGCTTGACCATAATACAGGAGATGCAGTTTTAATAGAAGCCTCACCACCAAATTTCAAATTTGAATATGAAACACGAGAAAATAAAAGGGGGGGGGGGCATAGCAGCAGTTTTTAAAGATCGTATTGTCTCCCATAGAGTGTCTCTTGGGAAATTTTCATCATTTGAGTATGTTTCTTTTAAAATAGAACAAAAGAAATCTTCTTCCATTCTTATTATTGTTGTGTACAAGCCGCCACAGTCATGCCATAGTTTCACTGATCATTTCACTGAGTTGCTTTCAGTTGTGTGCACAGATTTTGATGGTTTAGTCATTATAGGCGATTTTAATATTCATGTGGATAATGTTAATGACAGATACGCAAAAGAGCTGAGTTCCATACTTGAATCCTTTGGCCTCACTCAGCATGTGAGTGGCCCCACCCATAGCAGAGGACACACCCTGGACCTGCTTATCACGAAAGGGGTGAATATTTCAAAAGTTAATGTAGTTGATGTTGCTCTGTCGGATCATTTCTGTGTATTTTTTAACATGTATTTTGCTACCAGACCACCCGCTAAATATGAAATTGTTAGAAGTAGACACTTAAATGAAAACACGGGTGAACTATTTATGGGAATGATCCATTTTGAGAACACATCATGTTCTACTGTAGATGAACTGTTTAACTCTGTCACCTCTAGTGTGTTGAATGTTCTGGACGCCATTGCCCCTGTGAAGGTAAAAATGGTCACAAATAAAAAAAAAGCCCCATGGATAAAAGCAGGCCCGGTCAGGGCACAGAAGCAAGAGTGCCGGAGAGCAGAGAGAAAGTGGAGAAAGTCCAACCTCCAGGGTGATTATAAACTCTTAAAAGAGAAGTTGTGTGAGTTTAACAGAGTACTACGTAGAACAAGAGAATTATACTTTTCTGAAACTATTGAAGGCTGCAGCAATAATCTGCGTGTTCTATTTTCAACAATCAATAGATTAACGAACCCCCCTGTTGAGTTGCCATTAGAACACTACTCCAAATCCAGGTGTAATGAGTTTGCACAGTTCTTCAGAGACAAGGTTCAGGGTATCAGAAATACCATCACCTCTACAACACAAGTAACAATGCAACATCCAGTGAGGCTTTGTGAGCTAGCTCAATTTGCACCTGTCAATGATGAAACTGTTAAAAAGATAATCACAGGTCTTAGTTCCTCTACCTGCAGTCTGGATGTACTACCTCCTAGATTTCTGAAGTCTGTTATGTGTAGTCTATTACCCTCATTGACACAAATAGTAAACATGTCTTTTTTATCTGGAACATTTCCAATGGCCCTGAAAAAGGCAGTCATCAGGCCCCTCCTAAAAAAGAGCAGTTTGGATGCTGCGGTACTTGAAAATTACCGTCCCATCTCAAATCTGCCATTCATGGGAAAAATTCTTGAAAAAGTTGCCTACCAACAACTTACTGAATTTTTAATATATCTAATGACTCATTTGACATGTTTCAGTCTGGCTTTAGACCACACCACAGTACTGAGACCGCTCTAGTCAAGGTAACAAATGATATTCGGCTTAACACTGATGCAGGAAAAGTCTCTGTTTTAGTCATGTTAGATCTGAGTGCCGCTTTCGACACCGTTGACCATGAGATTCTCATGCAGAGACTGGAGGACTGGGTTGGTGTTGCTGGTACTGCCCTAAGCTGGTTTAGGTCCTATCTAGAAGAAAGGAAGTATTGTGTGGAGATTGGAGACTATGTCTCAGATAATATGGCCCTGACCTGCGGAGTGCCACAGGGGTCGATTCTGGGACCTCTCCTGTTCAATATTTACATGCTGCCATTAGGTCAGTTAATTCAAAGTATGAAAGTGTCCTACCACAATTACGCTGATGACACTCAGATCTATGTCTCACTGACTGCAGGAGAGCATGGACCGGTGGACTCACTCCTTCGCTGTATCCAGCGGATCAGTGAGTGGATGCAATGCAATTTTCTCCAGCTAAATGCGGACAAAACCGAAATGATTGTCTTTGGTCCCGAGAAACAAAGAGAGACCGTCATTTGTCACCTTCAGTCTCTCTCCCTAAGGCCTTTAAATAAGGTCAGAAATCTGGGAGTAATAATGGACTCTGACTTAAACTTCAATAGCCACATTGGATCGGTAACATCAGCAGCTTTTTATCATCTGAAAAATATTGCCAAAATTAAAAATATTGTGTCCAGGGCAGACTTGGAGATTCTTATCCATTCTTTTGTTTCCAGTAGGCTGGATTACTGCAATGGCCTGCTCACAGGTATCTCCAAACATGCAGTAAAACAGCTGCAGTATATTCAAAATGCTGCAGCCCGAGTCCTGACTAGAACCAGGAAGTACGACCACATTAGTCCGGTCCTCAGGTCTCTGCACTGGCTTCCCGTGGCCCAGAGGATAGACTTTAAAGCAGCTCTCCTGGTGTACAAGTCTCTCCATGGCCTTGCACCAAAGTACATCCATGATATGCTAGTCCCATATGAACCAGCCCGGACTCTGAGGAGCGCAGGGACGGGACTCCTGTTAGTGCCCAGAGTCAGGACTAGACAGGGGAAGGCTGCTTTTCAGATTTATGCAGCTAAAGTCTGGAACAGTCTT